AGGTTGGAGCTGTCCGGCTTGCGGTTCGGAATGATATTTACCCCTTCAAAATGCAAGGGTTTCTCACAGGATGTTAGAAGCCCCTACCTCCATGACACTTTTGGTCTACTTTTTGAAAATTATTAAAAAGTTACATTACCTTAAGAGTGAACACGTTAACGGGTGTGACCAACTTTTGCATCTCTAAAGCTAGAGTTCTCATTACCAGCTCACGACATCTTTGGAGACAATGTAAAATCGTACTCTCAGGGTTAGTCCGAATTTACCTTGGTATGGTACAAACGGTACAGTCTATGACTACTAGACTTAGTCTATTCATGCCAACAATGTCCAACGACTGTGTTGGAATGTTACTGACTAAATGATAGCGTCAACTTATTAATAATGACTTTCGTTGTTGGCTTTCCAAGTCGAGGAAACGTAACGATTGCTGAGGTGCTTAATTTTCTCCCACATAATTCGGTGACCCGAGCGTACGTTTCACATGCCCGTGCAGCAGTTACGCGCTGTGCATTTTTCTGCTCCCGTCGAGTCTGATTAGAAGCTACAAAACGGACAAGGGGAGTCAGAGCATTGACAATAAAGTTAATCGCAGCAGGGCGTTTCCGACTCTCTGGTTGGGGACCGAAGGACTTTGGGTATACATGGTTGGGATAACCATCGGATAAGACTCGGAATCCTTCCCAACAGTAGACAAGCTACAAGCGTGCCATCACCCGGCTGTCATGTACCCTCTCTCCTTTAATCCGTTTTACCCATGTATTGTGTCACTTACTAGTTTTAGTTTGCATTTTATGTTTCCCGCCCTAAACCTTGTCAGGAGCCAGTTGAGTGGCTTGCACATTAACCCTTCCTCGAGGAGGCAGTACTATGCGAGGATCGACGATAGCTACAGTTAATCATCACCGGATTTCAACACATGCGGCTCACAAGTAACTTAATGGACCGTGGTGGTACACCACAGTGCCCTATGACCACAGTATATAAAAGAAATTCCGATAAATAAAATGTGACAATTACCTCTCAACAAACAGTTTTTAGCTACAGTGACGAGGAATTCAACTATGCCCACCACTTTTCTTCCAAGCTGACAGTCTGTCAACTCTGTCATTAGTACCATTCAGTCCCTATTACTTACAGCGGCTTAACTTTCAACGCTTCTCTTTAGCAAATCCCGCGAGATTGATTTTATTGCTGAAACTTAATGCACAGCAGAAATTGGTGGCTCTACGTTTAACACCTCAGGCAATCTCTCGTCTTTCTGCGAAGAAAGTTCACGCAAACTTGGTGGTGGCTATGCCATTTACATTCGTAATGGTCATACTGCGATTTCTGCTGATCAAGATGCACTCATTGACCTGGAAGATACACTGTGGCTAGTGAACTCACCTACCCATCTTCTCGTGTGTTGTAGATATCGGTCGCCCTGAGCCACTCAATGCCCAAACTTACGTGCGGAGATTTCAACTTGACTTATGTTAACTAGTGGCTGCCTACACCCACGATCACTGTAGAACATGGGGAAGTTATCTCCTGTGTCCACCTCAATGGCTGGGCCGAACATGTTAGGGAGCCCACCAGAAGTACCAGTATCCTCGCTCATGTATTCACGATGGTGACCCTTCCGTACATGTATCCATTGATAATCAACTACCGGTTTGTGATCGCAACACTACACTTCGTAGCGTGACTGTTGTTCGCTGTTAATACCAAATCGTAACCTAGATCTATTTGATTAGAACGCAGGAAATGAATTTCTCGGTAACGCGTCATTCGCAACGCATAACTCTGCTGTAGCTGCAAATGAATTTGTCAACAATATTGTCCTTTGTATGGATGTGCTGGCACCTGTCGCAGGGAGCAATACCTGCAAAAGCAGTGGTCAGCACAGATCTCTTACCAAGGGGGCAAATCAAACTAAAGAAACGTAAAGCATTATATCACAGGAGCGGCGGCTTCGATACATTACTACACATACGTGAGGCTCTACTACAAATGCACCGTTTGTTCTAGGTAGCCAAAATCAGTGAAGGAAATGGGGTACTTAGAAATCCGGAAAAGATACGTACAGGGATTCAGATACTGATAAGGAGCAACCCCAAACCTCATCAGGAACTTTAAATGCTGAATTTAGACAATGGTTCATTAACGCGTGACCTCTCTTTTATGTGCGAATCAATCAACTCCAGCTTTGCCTCGTTTGTTCTGGACGCTCAGCTGTCTCCTGCGCCCACTCCTAAGAAGGACAAACCAGCTACGCTGCAATATTCCTGTGACATTGAGTGAGGTGCAGAACGCCACCGCGTTCCTAAAACCATCAAGCCATTCGGGTCCAGGCGGCATCCCCCCAGCTGTCGTAATGTTCGGTAGAAAAAATATTTCTCTGTTCTTAGTGAACATCTTCACACTTTCGCTAACTCCCGGCTGCTTCCCATCTCAGTAGAAGAAATCCATCCTAATGCCAAAGCACAAAGGTGGCCCGCGGAATGAAATGTTCCGTTACTGCCTGATAAACCTCAAGCCCACTGCATCTAAACTCCTATAAAGAATTATCAAGAAGAACAGTGTTACACTTTTTAAACGAGTGAAACTTATCAATCCCTCACAGTCTGGTTTCCTCTCCGAGCGCATCTGCATTAGCTGACAGCTACAATTCTTCGAACGCCTTATGACTATGATTGGTAGAGGAATGACAATTAGAATTCTCTTAAACATGCAAAAGCCGTTCGACCGCGTGCCACACTAGCCACCGTAGTCCGTGCTGGAGTCCTATGGCAATGAAAAACCTTTGCTAAATTTATTCCATACATTATTAAAAACGATCGAACCTAAAGGATCAGAATACGTTAGCAATACTCTACACCAAAACCAATAACCAGTGGCGGTTTCTTGGGAAGTGAGCTGGGGCCATTACCTTTTCTAATCTACTTGCACAACATATAAGACCCCATCAAACAGGTACGCTGGTTTCTGTTTACAGACGACTTCCAATTAATCCACTCATTTCAACCAGACCAACTACTAGAGTGTCTGGGAAGCCTACGCGAAGAACTACTCACACCGAATATATTTAGTGAACTTCTGCTGATGAACATTTCTGCAAGAAAATCCCAAGTACTTGGATACAGATGTCACAGTTCGCAGAGGTCTGCCACGCTTGTCCGTAAACGTGATCCCAACCTCAGATTCAATTCCGGACTTGGGAAGTGGGTATTCTAACTACTTCAATTTTTCATGAGTACATATTTTATCGTTGAAAAAGCCAGACAACCATCCGGTTAGCTCACCAGAACGTATTTCCTTCCTGAAACACGACTTTAATCAAACAAAATACTCGTAGGACCTAAGCTGGAATATCAAGCAGAGCCAATTGAGAAAGAAAGACAGAATAAACGTTAAAAAAATGTCCAACGGTTATTTACCAAGCTGGTCATGGGTCATTGCTCAACTCTGACTTCCTAGGACAGTTGTCGCTACCTCTGAGTGGATTCGCTTTGGCTGAGACGACTAAAGAACAATCGCCTTCTTCTTTTCAAAATCATAAATAAGTGGATTTTCACAAAGAGCACTGCCCCCGAACTACGAAAAACCACCACATACCCCATCCGTTAAGGAGATTAATTGTTGCCCCCACACTATGCGAGCCATAAAATCCGATCGACATATTTTTAGTGTGGTATACTAATCTGTGGCACCGACTTCCACTACAGGAAAGCAAGAATGCTAACCATACCACGTACCGAAATTCTTTAGAGAATTTGATTACTATCCCGAATGGGTAAAAGACAATTCGCGCACAACAATCACCAGAAACATTGCCGGAAGCTGGTCTAAACAACATTTTGAGCAGCCAATAGGCTAAAATCATCTCAGCCCCTCTTGTCATTACCCATGAAATTAAGCATATGTCTGTGCAGGCTACTCTCCCCTGCTTCCCTTCTAACTGCTCCAGTACTTAGCTAAGTATAAAATTTGAAACAGTGGTACAATAATTGGTATGTTTAGTATTTCCAATGAGCGGGTCGATGATCCGGGGAAATATTAATGGTTCATAATGCCATTTTCATCTTTTACTTCTAGCATCATGTATTAAATCGCATAAATCATTATGCTACTACCGTGTAAAAATGATCTCGCCTGCTTAGCGGCCGTATATCGCTTGTTATATATATATATATATATATATATATATATATATATATATATCAATTTATTTATTACATAAGAGCTGCTGGCTAGCCTGTAGGTTGCAGTCTATGGTTAAGGATTCGTACAAACTGCTGCTTGAATGCCACAGCTTCAAAAGGCTGTCTGGACAAATAGTAGACCATATGTCTGGTGCTTTATCGCATTTCTATATCTATACCAATAAGTAAACAACAGGTAACTTTTAATAAGTCAGCACATCAGTCAAACCAGTTATTCACCAGTTATTGTGGAGTAGACACTTCATCCACTGACACCATTCCTGACACCGTCAAAGTGTCATAACCTAATCATCGGCTCTTGCGTACAAGTTAATAGGTATAAATTACAGGTGTTATGGTTCGGAAGCAAATACCAACAAGGGACTTTCATTGCACGCTTTTGATTTTCAAATGCTGTCATGTAGTACAAGGCGTAAAAACAGCAATACTTACAGTATCAGATTACCGACGACATGCGGTTTATTGCGACAGAACGTGTGCGACTCAGCTGGGCGGTGCGTGTGAATTTTGGCTCACAACGTTTAGCGCGACTAATACAAACGCCAGATGCAACCTATTGGTTGGTCACAAACTTAGCATGATATTATGAGTTCCATTGGCTGAAAATTGACCGGAGTGCATTCGTGCTGTAAGTTGGTTCATGGGTACGGAACAAAAGCCGGAACTGAATTGGTCCACACCATTGCAGTTTCCACATTTCGGTTGCTAACGTCCCGCTGGTTTCTTATCTGTGTTCAGAGACTGTGGCAAGGAATAATGTGCTCTTCGTTCCCAAGAGATTATACTTGAAGCATGTCATCCCCAGGGGCTTCCGTATCAAATAATCCGTCCTTAAATAACCTAGCGGCTTCGTTCCATGTGCAAAGCATTCCACTGGCCATTTTCATCCTTATTATCATCTGTCTACTATGCATTGGAGTCCTTGTTGTCATTGCTCTATGCATCTACGGAAATCTAAGTAGAGGTGGCAAGAAGAGAAAGCAGGTGAAGCGTATGAAAACAGTGTACATGGATGAGATTGCGGCCTTGGAAGAAGGTGCAGGTGAGTACGGTCAATTGATGTACTCTATGGAGTATGACATACCGTCGAAGGTGTTGAAAGTTGTGATACTCGAAGCAAAGGAACTTAATAATGATTCCGATAACGATCAGATCGATGCGTACGCTAGCCTCAAGCTCGTTCGTGAAAAGCATGGGAGGTACCATCAAATCGGAAAGACCCAGAAGACCGACGTAAGAAGACGAACTAAAGCACCTCGGTGGCATTTTCCGTGCACCTTTCAAGTGTCTCAAGAGGATTTAAAGGATGCCAAATTGGTGTTTGAGGTTTTCGATTATGACACAATCGGGCAAGATAGAAGCCTGGGTCGACTTGATGTTTCTTTATCGTCCATTGATATAGCAAGTTATTTTGGAGCACCTTTTGAACAGATTTGCTGTTTGAAGCCCGGATCTCCGAAGTATAGCGGTTTAGGAGAATTATGTGTTGGTCTTGCTTACTTTCCAAAAACTGAACGCATTGAAGTGATCATTTATGAAGCCAGACAATTAAAAGTTAAGGAGCATCTCTCAGAAACGAAAGAATGCCAGCTTTCAGTACGCGTGGAATTACGCCACAAATCGCGGCGCCTGAAAACCTTTGAAAGTACCGCAAAAGCAGAGCTGGTTAATCCGTACTTCAACGAAAAGACGACTCTACAGCTGAAAGAGAAACAGGCTCAAGAGGCATGTCTTGTATTTGAATTGCTGAGGAAAAGAACGTACGGGCGCCGAACTCCACTGGCTTTCCTCACCATTGGGCCGAGTGCCGAGTTGACAACTGGCGCAAAACACTGGGAGGAGATGATTCGAGGTAGCCCCCGAACACAGGTCATGTGGCACACATGGATTCCCAAGGTTTCGGATTTCTAGACTGTAAACAATCTGGACTGTTCACTGTGCATAGAACACTGATTGAATCCACATTCACCCGAAAAAGCTGTGACACTTCTCCTGGATGCATTAATTTGATGCAGTACTATCAATCGGAGATTGGTCTGATTTTATCACAAAAAGCTACAGGGTTCAAAAATGTCAGTTCATTATGCTCTCTGGCATGTTCTGTCTTATTTTCCTGACATTACAAATTGCCTAGAATACTCACTGAACTAGAATATCTCAGCGATTAGATAATACTGATGTAGTCGTTAAATTGGAACAAGGATTAATGTAGGCCGGTCGTTCAAATTTAAGCATAATGGTTTTGCATAGTAATGAATTGCTAGCACCAAATGTTTTTGTGAAAGTTACATCCCAGTGTCTTTATTTGTGTTTATGTTTGGTCCTTTTAATTGTCGAGCCAAGTGGGATTGTGTGTAATTTGCATCACGGAAACTACACGATCTACCTTCGGTAAGTTGCCATCAACTAGCATAAAGTTTTCGACGACAGGCTGAGTAACTCTGTGGATTCTCGCAAACTCATACTCATTGGCGTACTTTTTGCTCCATGACGGTACTCCAGTGTTTCCATTTATTAATCATTTCTGGACTACTAGACAAGTGGGCTAGTTGCAAATGAATAAACATTTTACGCAATACGCGCAACAGACTCCGTATAGAAGTCGTAAGCATTTTCAGGTTTAAGTACAACAGTAGGATATATTTAGCATTTCTCCATACTGCGTGTGGCCACTGCACTTTGGGAGGAATCACACCAACCCACCTGTAAACTATCAGCGGTGAACGAAGTAGCTAATAATGGTACCCACTGATTAGATTTGGCATACCGTTCATTATCCTTCAGAGAAAAATATATATTACAACCGTCTCCGTATAGAAGCTGGATCGCAAGCTGCGAGATTATTATCACAGGCTGAAAGTCCGGAGTAAGACTTGTTCCGGTCATGTTAAACTACGGTCTGCTGTTTACCTGAGTCCATCTGAACAGCATTTCCTATACGTGTATACTAGTAACGAATCTGTTGATAGTGAACCAGCTACATGTCAAGATACTGTTGGCGAATGCAGCTGTCGACGTTCGTGAATATAGCGCGTGGCAATCCGTCAAGCAACAATTGGGTTTAGGCCAACGGTATAAGCTCGGATGGCTATGCATACAAATTAAGTTGTAGAACTTTGCATTTGGTGTCTTCTCGATTTTCATTCACGATTAAGGATAAAACGCTGCTGTACTGAAATGTCACACAAAAGCTATTTGTATTTAGAAGCATCCAGGCCCTTTTTTGAACAATCGTATCTTTCTGCACCAGCTATCTAGAGTTATTTTACCGACATCCCATTAAGTGAATGCCATACACCCGTTAGTAGAACAAAGAGTTGATAAATGCACTGTAGAAGCAGCACAGGTCTACTGAACAGTGTGACGCTTCTGTGTCTCCTCAGATGGTATGATGAGGTTGGCCTTATGAGGAACAATGGATCCATGGTTGGGGACGGATAAAAAGGTTTACACTTAACATGTCCCTTAAAAACACGCAAATTCAACTACTACTTAAGTGGATCAACTAAAATGCCTGGAGCTGAAGCGATCGAGTAATGGCAAAATAAGGGGTTGTGGGAGTGCGGTGATATCATGCGCTAAAGAATACTAATTTGGCGAAGTGGTCTACGATGGGTAGAAAAGCGAGTCCTTGGCGTGTCCCGCGGGATGGTTACTGTGGAAACAAAAAGCATAAAAACAAGGGTGATTAAAAGTTTCTGTGAGATAAATAACACATCAAGGGTTTAGAGTAACACATGTGCGAGTATTGCTGCCTGGATTACAGAAGGGTTATGATGCCGTCCACTGTTTGTTATGCACTAATGCTACCATCTGTTGGTCATAGGCTATATCACATAGTGTAAATACGTAAGGGTATCCTCAGGGAGTTTTTTGAAAAGGGCTAAAGTGAGGACATTTATTACATGCGCCGAAGAGTATTCCAAAGCTGACACTCGGAGGGTGAGAAAGTTTGATTACCTTCCTGTTGGCCGTATTGCGTGGCTAAGTTTAACTGGTTATCCTTTAGAGATATGCTCTGACTGAGTTTTCAAACAGAGTGGCAAATGTGGTTTGGGTTTCTCACGATCTGATACACCGTTATGAGATCTCCCAGTAGACGCCGATAACGGCCGCTGTGCTTTTTGAGAGTTTCCAGTCTGAGTGCCTAGGGAAGGCGATGGAAACCACTGACGCTCATTGTCGCCCTGCGATGTACAGTATCGAGAGCGGTGAGATAGTGCTTCTGCCAGGCTTGCCGCGCTTGGATAGCGTAAGCTGCATGCGGCCTCAAGTACGCGCCCAGCATTTTTGGAAATATTGTGACGACAGACTTTTCGAACGCTCTTGGAAGAAGGCCGAAGTGTTGGTTGGAATTCTTTGCTGCCTTTTCAGCCTGCCTCAAACACCCAAGGTCCATTTGGACAAGCACACCAGGACGGCCCACATGAGTAGCTCAGTGCAGAATTTGTGGTCCTAGGTGATAGTTGTGCGTTCTCTGATAGAGTATTTTCAGATTTTTGCACTTGGTTGAGTTGAACTGCAGCATGTTCTCGATGAACCATGTAAACGCTTTGTTCAGAACATTCTGTAGAACCGTGTGATCTTTTCCACTGAAGCGATAGCACGCCATATCCTTAGCTTAGCGGCAAATAGAAAACAGTCTGCGTACAGCACGCTTGCGTGATCATTTATGAAGATCAGGAACAGGGAACTTCGACTGGTTCCAATAGGGTACTGCGAACCCTCAGCTTCGTGTGACATTGAATGAGAAAGTCGCCCTATCCATCCCAAAATGGGATCACCGATACCATAATGCTGGAGTTTGTACAGCAGAACGCGATAGTCCACGCGGTCGAATGCGCTTGCGCAATCCACTTCCACAGACTCCAACCAGCTTGCACGAGCTATCAACAGATTAGTGGTGCAGGCCCGATTTTGGCGATATCCGTGCTGTTCCGGAGTGCGAATATTGTTACTCTCCAGGTACTCCATGAGCGCCTCAGCTACAAGGGACTCATTGATCTTGGAGATCACAGAAAGTAGTGTTATCGGGAGATAAGTTGCTAGTTCTGCTAGACGACCACTTTCGTAGATGGGAGTGGTGAGCCAGTGCTTCCACATTTTAGGAGCACGTATTCGTTAATACCTCGCTGCAACAGTATTGCTAACGGTTCAACTAAATTCGTGGAAGCAACTTACAACTCCTTCGGGTGAATGGCATCCGCACTTGGGGAGCTGAATTCGCGCAAGAACATCAGCAGTTTCAGTAGAGCTGCGGTTGCAAAAGTTATGTTTTTAAGACCTGACGGCGGCATGAGCTTCGTAGGCATAGGGTAGGATGATTGCACACTTTGTAAGGTAATGTCAAATTGTAGTCCAAGAATGTTGATTAATCTTTGTACCGTTTGCGCTAACTAGCATGTAGTGCGCACAGCAGGAATTCCGAGCTTAACGCGGCGAACTTTTTTACGTGTCTGTTTATAGAGGAGCCACCTGGCTCCTCTACGCTACCCTACGCTACTACACGCCACTCAACTACGCACTGATGATGTCACCTCCATTGATGAAGTAACGTTTGCAGCGAAATTGCCAAGCTCAGCATAGAGTTCAACCGCCATCTGAACAACCTGAGCTACCAGTCTTCAATTCTATAGTCAACTGGTACCACGGGTTGCACACTTGGAGGGAGAGCTAAGTTCATCGACAACCTGGATGAATGTATTGTTTACACAATTTCAGGCTACTGCTTTCCCGGGTGGAGGTTCTGGCCAAATTTCAAACGCCGGCGGCATACATGACTGGGGTCGCTGGGTATTTAGTAAACTGATATGACGTTACCACGCACCCCATGGCAACGTGCAATGAACACTCCGAGTTCTTCAGTCAGTCTTAGTACTAAAGTTTACGCAAAAGCTCGAACTTGTTCGATATTCGAAGTTGTGTGTTAGCGTGCACTGTGAGACCACGCTTTAGCCAAGGCTGCCAAGCCTGATTAGTGTAGTTGAGGTGGGGATGCACAATGACCTGGTGCATCAGAGACAACATGGATGGATCCAAATTCTGGAGTACCATGCGCAAGCAACATACATGATGGTTACCTACTTTTGCATCAAACTCGACTGTCTGAAACAACAGAAGACGTCCTGCACCAATGCACTGAGTTGTGGTTTTCAGATTGTAGGGCCCAAGCCTGTCAAGGTGGGTATCTCGATGGCCGATATAGACAGCATTACCTTTGTCCACAATGAATGGGAGCACGTTCGTTCCTGACCAATTCTGAGACTCACCGAGGTCGTGTTGGAGTATATCGTGAGCATGCAATCCATTGCTCGCCCCTAAATCTTAAGGTCCTCCGCGAAGAAAAGATAATCCTCGCTATATCCTTGCAAAAACTAATAACAGGTGAAGTCCAATTACTGAACCCTCTGGTAAGCCGCACTCCACTCGAATCGGGTCCGACAGAAATGTCCGGACTCTAACCTCTAGTTGCCGTTCGCGTAGAAAGTTATCGACCCATCTTAATACTGAATCACCAACGCCGTAGTGTAGAAATTTATGAAGCAGGATTCGATAATACAAGAGGTCGAATACTTTCGAAAAATCCATGTAAATAACATCGGTAACTGTTCCCTCGTCGAGTGTTTCGGTCTACTTGTCACGTGCTATCGGCAGGGTCGTGGTACATGATCGATGTTAATGAAACCCAAGCGGATCCGGCACAATGATGCCGTAACTTTCCACATGGCCCATCAGTGCGTCTGCGGTGATCGCTTCCATGACTTTGGTGAGTACGTGGAGAAGCTTTACCGGGCGGTAATTGATAGGCCCCTATCGAATTCCTCCCTTGTGAATAACAGTGATAATACCCCGCTTCCATTTTGAGGGAACTGTTCTCGTCTAAATATCGCTGAAATAATCCAGCTAGTGGT